GTCCTAGTTGCAAATCGCCGAAGGCGGTTTGCGTGCTAGGGGGGTCCGGGGGCTATGATATTTAGAGTGGCGGGTGTATTTTAGGATGGCAGGGCTCGACGATAGCCTGGCGAGCCGCCAGGCTATAAGTACTCTTGGAGAACCCTGATTTTGTTTTATGACACCGTGTAAAAACGACTCTCCAGTGTGATAACGGAGTTTAATTTGAACGGTGGCAAGCCCACGACCAATGTCAACGCGCGTCTCTCTCCCGCCGAATATCTGTCGCCACTAATCTACATACAATGGAAATGCTCATGACAACGGGGGACCTGGTTATTACAGGGATAGAAATTAACTTTTGAACAAGGGACTCCATGCCCTCAAAAAGGAGAGGGAGCCCGCAGCAAAATGAGGGAGTCCGCAGTCTGAAGTTCAAAACTAAAAATGCAAACTAATATAACGCATGTGCTTATTTTGAAGATTCATGCGGTTGCACGTCTGCCAAATTTTCTTTGGTCATTTGCTGAACAAATACGGTAATTCCACGAGGCCGTGCTCACGAACGAACTAGTTAGTATAGCAAAATTTTTAGGGAGTCACACGGACTCCTGCATATGTCAAATCAGGGAGTATCGGACTCACGTTAATTTCACACCCTGTTATGAAACTGTGATGCTAAAGAACGAAGACCTACCTCCTCCCTGCATCATCTTGTAGAACTTGCTCTCTATGTGCAGCTGCGGATGCTTCGTCTTCACGCATTCTAATTTGATTGCTACCTCCTCTCCATTGATGATGTTCACTCCTGTAAATCACACGGAAAAAAAAGAAAAGGTTTTAAAATCACATCAAATGCCACGAAACAAGAGAGACTGAGGCCATCCTTAAAAATTTTTTTTGTTTGTTTGTTTATTTTGTCTATATAAATATAAATATAACTCTTCTACTGGTATTCTGGAAGGTGCATATATACATTCCTCATAGTTAAAACTGAAACACAAAGCATGTGTGGCAAACATGAGGACAGACTTAAAATAACTATTATGCCTCACACAAAAAATACCTACCTACCTACCCACTAAAAAAATCATGGGTCGGGGGACTGCAAACATAGAATTTTTTGAGGATAGCCTGATCGGATTGGAACGCCAGCAGTAAGATACTATATGGTAAGTAATAATAATGAGTAAAAACTAAGATAGTAAGATAGAATACTAAGATAGATACTATGATAGTATCAGTAGTGAATAATAATAGATTACTTTATCCATTATTATTCACTCCCAATAGTATGTATACTAAGTAAGATCTTTAATAAAATATCTGAAGGTCCTAAATAGATCTCAACCGGATGCAAACCTGTCACCGTGGCAAATTCGTTTTCGGTTAAAAATCGGCAAAAAGGATGTTCGCGTCAGACTAGGACCGACCCTGTTTCGGCTGAAATACATCCAGCGGCGTTCGCAAGCGGCGGAACGCGTCTGCGGCTATTGTTGCGCAGCTTCCTAATATACGAGCAGCAGAAGCGATGACAATGCGTAAACGCCGACATTAAAAAACCGTAAACAAGCATTTTTACGGTCTCACTCTCGCCGACTGTACGCATCTGTACGTTGTCTAGTCTAGGAACGTGACCGACACGGTATATTTGCCTACACCGCTCGCCCAATCAACTGAATATAATCCAATGCCGAAAAAGCGTGAAATTGCACACAACTGGTTTCCAACTCCAACCTCCCTCCCCCCTCCCCCCTCTCCCGACGACCGGCTCGGATATCTTTTATTTGAACAAACGATTTGTTTTCGTTCCTCCGACAGTGCCGCTCGTTTGCCGCCGCAACCCTTCGCAGTAGGGGGAAACCTCGAAACTCTCTCTCTCTCTCTCTCACGCGCGCGGGGAGATCGCTTTCAACACAAACGACACCGCCAAGGTCTGCGTTTTATGCTCTTTATGCTCCCGGACGACGCACCACCGGTTATCGTAGTGGAAACAAAGTTCTGTACAACACACACCAGCAATAAAAGAAGCTGACAGATACAGCACACCGCAGGCGCGCGCACGCGAATACCCGCAAAGCTCGTGCAACACGTGCACGCAAGAACACGTATCAAGATAGATATAAGACGTAACACTCCTTACACCTATTATCCACATGACGGGAGTAAAGAGTCGGGCTAAGACTAACAGATGCACACGTTGTACATATAGGCCAATGACCCAGCATGAGAGAGCAGATGACCATACAACCATATCCGTTGCATCAACACCTCCGATAACCTTCCGTGCATCTACACACCCGATACGTGTACGTAGCCGTGTTAGAACTAGTTAACTGCCCTAATAATGCCTGTTGGAAATTAATTTCACGATAATTTCACTATTAAGATTTCTTGAGAACCTAGAAGACACTCGGATTGAAGTAAAAAAGAACATTATGGTGTCCAGCTACCTACAGCCATTTGGTTGGATTGATTGGTCTTTCAGATGCCAAATATTTAAAGCAAAAAGTTAATACACCGTAGATATTTGTACTATAGACAGCGTAATATAAGATAGCCCCGCCCGCGATCCCCGGAATTTTTATTAGAGTTAGTGAAGGGATAATAGATAGGTGACTCCGTTTGTACTGTGGTGGACTGCCCGTACCCCTGTAGCATCAAAACCAAACGTGTATTAATTGTTTGAAACTTTTTTGTGTATAGCACCACGTGGCGGTGCATTTTGGATGGGCGGGCTCGAAGATAGGTCTGGCGGCCGCCAGGCTATAATTGCGCTTTTGGAAAACCCGACGTATACTCGCATCGTACAAACCGGATAAAGTATGTACTGCGCATCGTACGACCGATATGTGTCCTGGTGCAATTCCTACCACCCCTAGATACGTGTCCTGTGCATCGTACAACCGATACGTGTCCTGTGCATCGTAACACCCGATACCGTGCCGCGCATTCTGCGTAACAACCGATATGTGTCCTGTGCATCCTACACCCGATATGTGTCCTGCGCATCTGCGTACAACCGATTCGTGTCCTGTGCATCGTATACTTTAGAGTAATTAAAAGCATATATACATATATTAAACTGGTCTAAAGGTGGAAAGTTCTGCATATTTTACAGGCAAGCAAGGCTTTTGTTTTTGGAAATGTACGTGGAACGTTATCATACTGCACGAGATGTGGGGGCGAAGTAAGACGACGTAAGACTCGAGTCCTCCTGATACCTTGTTAAAGTAGAGAAATAAACGAAAGTGACACCTAAGGCCATCCTTAAAAAATTATGTTTGCTGTCCTCCGACCGACCCACGAAAAAATAGCCGTGACCCAAAAAAGATTTTTTTTACATTTTGGTTCTCATTTTTTTAAATGTTAACACAAAGCATGTGTGGCAAACATGAGGACAGACTTAAAATAACTATTATGCCTCACAAAAAAAACCTACTAAAAAAATGTTAAAATTTATACAGATTATATATTCCATTCTGTATCACATGCATTACCGTAAATGAAAGTGTCAATGACACTGTAGCTCACCACAAAAAAGGACACAAATGAGTGAGTGGGAAGAAGTCAGTTTTAATTGAGCAACCATCGACGTACATTATAGAAACGAAGAGAGAGGGGACAGCATCATGGGTCGGGGGACAGCAAACAGAATTTTTTAAGGATGGCCTAAGTTATACCAACAGACGAGAAATTACTAAGGCCCATGGACTGTTAGAACGTGTCAGCAATTATTTATTTACTCTTGCTATAGATGAACTGAATCTGACAGGTGATCAATATTTCAGTCAGGGTTATATATATGCAACCTCCTGCCCCCGGAAATCATGATTACAACAGCTTATATGCAAATATTGTTGCATAGAGGAAAACTGTCAATCCTGAAGGTAACTAAGTCCAACTAGATCCTAATCTTTCGTAATGCCATCGTTGTAGATTTTGATTTAGTAGCATACACGTAGCTTATATTATTAGACTACTACGCCATTCGATTAAGTGCCGTGTGACGTATGCAGCTCCTTTGTGCGCACGAGGAAGCTGAATAAGATGCGACTCAGCATGATGTCATCACTGATAACTAGTGATGTCCTAACGAAGCCCATCCACAATGCTCGAGAAATACCGCAATTCATTTTGCACTTTCACGCTTTTAACAACACCCGCTCGACCTTCAATCGATAATAAAGGTCGCAACTCGTTTAATTCCGTGCAGTGCGGATTAATGCGCGCGAGTGTTCATAAACTACGGCATACGCGGCCGTAAACACAAAGCGTTGATCATAAATGCGTAAGTGCGTAGCTCGGTCAGATTCAGCAATGCACACACGCGCCACCACACTCGTCATTGTAGCCTCATCTCTCTTACTCTCTCACTCTCTCTCTCGCTCTCTCACTCTCTCTCTCTCCCTCGCACTCTCGCACTCTCTCTCTCTCTCTCTCTTCATCTCTCTCTCAACCCTCCCTCCCTCCATCTCTCTCTCTCTCTCTCTCTCTCGCTCTCTCTCCGTCCATCCATCTCCCCTAGGCCACCGAGATAACAGAACCCGCCTCCCTTAATTAGGAGATGTTCCAGAACAAGAGGGCTGGCTACTACCCACAGCATCGATCGCACCTGCCACATAAATCTGCACGAGAGGGACGCGTCGCGAGGCGTCGTCAGGCCACCCTCCGTCGCATCACCGACACGCGCGCGACCTCAGAACGAATCTCAGAACATCTTCTAAATTCTAGAACATTTAGACTCGCGCACACCGACAACAATCGCGTAGCACGTCTCAGAGCTGGTCGCGAGACGCTGCGTCACTCGGCGGGGTTCTACTACGCGCGCACCGAGATCTTCGCGAGACGACGACGACGACGACGACATCGTCGTCTCCGTAAACGTGGCCGGCGCGCACGACGCAAACGCCGACGAAATGAAAATATTTAGGATAAATTCATTAGCGCCGCACTGTTATTTCGGCGATCGAATTCGGCAGCGACCAGGGCAATACCGCAAGCATTCGGCTCGAATGCCGCGAACGAATCATCGCTGATGAATCCTACATTGCCATCAACGTCACTCATCAGCTCTATGTTAGAGTTGGCAGACTGACACATAGGTTCGAACATGCGTTCTGCCAAACAAGAACAGGGTTCTGCCCAGGATTTTTTAGTGCCGGGCGCATCCAGTTGCGACGAAGCCGCAAGATGCAAGCACCGTAGCCGCGAAGCCAATCTAGGGGGGTCCGGGGGCATGTCCCCCTGAAAATTTTTGATTTTTGAAAGTCTGAAACTCAATTTCCTGCATTCTGAGCAATAAAAAGCCCATATAACAGACTTTTTTTTATATTAAAAATTAGTGCCGGGCGGCAACCGCGAGTGCCGGGCACACCCGCCCACCGTGAGCAAAACCCTGCACAAAGAACAGCGGCGATAGAGGATGGAGGGGGGGAGGGAGAAACCCGGCGAGAGGTCGATTACGGCTGCCGGTGCGTCGTTTCATCGTCGTCGGCGGCGGCGTCGGCGCTCACAGCTTCCCTCGCAAAAGGTCAGATAGGGGGCCACTGCAGACCGACTGTACGGCCAAGTTTATTGATCAGTGCATCATGTACGCTGAGCAAGGGCCTCCCCACTGCGCAGCATGCGAGGAGGAACGCTCACCAGTATAGGATGAATCATCAGGTGATCTTCACGCTAGTTTGCGCTGTGAACATATACGTACGTCGCGTACGGGGGGAAAGCCGCGTACGTAGTGCGCGTCAGCTTTCCGAGAAATTCCACGGTAAAATCTATGACACGTTCTTGTCACCGCAGCAACAGTTTGCATGCTATTCGACACAGGTAACGGGGCAAAACACATGCATTCCCATACGCACACACAGCGACAACGTTCTCCACAAACATCAACTAGACCTGATATTAAAATAGTGCGGCTTGCAAATAAAGCACATTAACTAGCATTTAGGTTCATAAACGAAATCAATGTATGGAAATGGGAAGGGCCTATCAGGGTTTCTTGAATTTCTTCTACATAAGAGGCACAGCGGCGCACTACCGTTGTCAAATTTAACATCGCAGTGGTGAAAATGTTCCTGTATTTACCTGCCCCCGGGCGCCCCTAGCTGGGCGAGCTCCTGCGGTGCTCGCTTTGCTAGGTCCTCGAGATGCGCAAACATGCCTTTAAATCCATTATGCGCGTTTTTCCCCCAAACTGGCCATTACCTCCGTTGTCTAATTTTCCCTCAGAAGAAACCATGCCTATACCACTAGCCACTACATGTGCACTAGCAGCAACAACAAAGAATCTACGAGTCTACATAAAACTTGGAATTCAAGGGGTACCGGTACTACACATACACACACACGCATACATGTATACACACATCAGTAGCTTACTATGAAAGTTGTATTACTAAAATACTAACTGAATTAAATGTCATTTTACTCCTACTAATGATTATTAGTAGATTATTAATTAGATTAGTTTAATTAGTTTAATTATTAATTAGTTAGATTATTAACGATGATACTTGAATGGATGGATGGATGCATGGATAGATAGATAGTTAGATTTTTTGGGGTATTTTCCTCTCAACCAAGCGGTCACCAGCTGAGTAACGCCACTGTTTTCCCCGGGCAACGCCGGGTATCCTGCTAGTACTTAAAATACAGTTTTAAATCTGCCCATACGACCACCGAACACTAGAAAGAATAAGTATGTGGTGCAAATTCAGTGCCAGTAATACATAACACAGATTTAATGTACATGTACAAAAAGAGCTGTGCATGCTACTTCTTGATCATTTACAGGATACCTACCGTACATTACTTCCATGAAATAAGGAAATGAGTGTACCAGGGCTTGAAACTAACCTAAAATGTTCACTAGCCAGCAGGGCTAGTGACCTGTAAAATCTACTAGCCCTTAAAAATATCTCCCAGCCCTTACTTTTCTGAGATATCACAAACTGCGGCTTTCAAATTAAACAAGAAACTTTTCATATTTCCGCTAGCACTGACTTGAATGAGGGTCTAATCGTTACTATAAGGAATTTTCTGCTCTTATTAAACCATTAGTACTATGATGTATTGTATATATAATAAGTATATATATATATATATCAAGAGCTAATATACACCTAGAGCAAGGCTCACCACTAAACCTTTTTTTTTTCAGTGGCCCGATCGGGCCACCAAAAAATCATTATTTTCAAGTTTTGGTGACCCAAAAATTGAAATCTGATTGGCCCAAAAAAAAAACAAAAAAAAATCTTTACTTTCAATCTCGTATTGCTATATCTATTGGCAAAAATTGGGCCGTCTGATGCGCAATTGCCACAAGTTCTTTAAACAAACCCTACACAATGGGCACACACTGACATTGCCATGATTGAGGCATATCATTTGAATTATCCATTCCACAGCATCAGAATTATTCACCAAGAACCGCCATATGTCTGAGTTCGCTTGCATACAATGTAATCACATGTATGCTGGCGCTTTGCAGAAATATGCTTTGGCCTGCGCCGTGAGAATTTTGACCTCTGGCTAGACTGGATTCGCCCAGCCGAAAACTGTTCGTCGCAAGAGCGTGCTACACTTGTCTAGCAGAGCGTCGAGGCCGTAGATACCCAGTCTAACACAACTAACGTTGGCTTGTTGCCGTGCCGCAGTAGGACGGATAAACCGTGCGCCCGTGTATGCCCGCGGTAGAATTGCTGCACGTTGCGTTAACGTGGTGCCTCGCTCCGCGAATTGCTCGCTCTCTTTTGAATGAGAATTCAGCACGGGTAAGAAACAGATTATTATTTCATCACATAGACACTTTTGAAATTTTAGTGGCTCGTTCGGGCGCCACCAAATTTTTATGTTTTGGAATTTTGGTGGCCCCGACATCAGAGTATTTGGTTGGCCCCGCGGCCAACCGGGCCACCGCTCAGTGTATCCCTCC